TTTCCAACCTCCGCGGGTGCGTATTGCTGATGATTCCCAAACAAGGCTGATGAAACAGTTGCCCAGAACTCCCTTGCTTTCAATGATTCTCTAACTGATATCAATCCATGGTCACACTCCGAAAACAAATCCAATATTTAGAATACAACTCTTGAAAATATTTAGTGTCATTAAACTGTATTTAAGTGTGATTCACTGGTAACATATTGTCATTTAGTATTGTTAAGCTATCGACTTTTCAAATGATTGATGGTTGGTTGGTTGATTTCTTTTTAATAATTCAAGTTTACATTAATGTGACTGTTAACTGGCATTTTTTCGGCATACCATACTTTTAGATATTCCTTCGCATTTTTTAAAGTTTATGTATTGTCGTGTTTTTCACGTTGTCTATGCTGATGAAGACAGAGGAGGTTTATCAGATCTGTCATCCACATAAACTGCAATTTGTGTTTGCTTTGTAATCGTTTCAGTTGTTATAAACATTGAAAGAAACTGGTGAACTTATATCAAACTACTTCCTTATTATCATTTATTTTATTCCTTTACGTTTCAAGTGGAACATAGGGCTTCAAACTAGAGCTTTGAAATTCCTGTAGCAGTGGTATTTATTTTTCTGGGGTGGGATTGCTAGCCTCACACCCTCACACCTTCCCTCTTTACCAGCCCAGTGAGGTAAAGGAATGCGTCGGTGGCCGGTGATCAAACCCAGAACCACATGCATGGCTGGCAAGCATTCCTACCGCCAAAAGCCACCGATGCGATATCACCCTATAATATCGTTTTGTCTTATACTCATAAATATTTTTTAGAAGACAGATGGATAAAGCAAAATCACTGATCATAAGAACGATGTCAATAAAAGACTGAGAACAGATTTACGTCATATCTTTCACAGTGCAGTAAGTAGTAAACATTTAAAGCATTGAAATACTTATCATATTTATTAATGCAATTGGAATACTAATAAACTGGAACCAACTAATTTAATGCGTTCTGCTTTATTTTTAGTAATAGATTTGGTAAGAATTATATTTCTATGGAATATTTTCAATAATAATATTGGAAATTGTTTTTATTACTTTTGAATTTGGTTTTGTTCGTAAACATTTTCTTATTTCTTCTGGTATAAATCACACTTAATTAGCATTTGTTTTATGGCTCAAACTCATTACTAATACAATATAACACTTGGTTTCCAGGCACAGCCTACTCAGTAAGATTTCTAATATTCAAGTATTGGTTTTGTAGGGATCTTGTATGATTGCATGGAGGATTTCACCATCAGCTGACACCGGTTAGAGAACCACTGGAAAACCTCCAAGTACTAGACTGCTATTTCGTTGGCCTAGTTTGAGAGTCTTCAGCAGTACGCACCCATCGGGGTTGGAGCCCAGGACCTTATGGTTGCAAGACGAGGCGATCGGGTCCCAGTGGCTCAATGGCCTACGAGCTCTCCTTGTAACTAGAAGGCCCCGGGTTCGAACCCCGGTGGGTGCGTACTGCCGAAGAGTCCCAAACTAGGACGAAACAGCTGTCCAGTACTCCCAGCTTTTCCAATGGTTCTCTAACTGATGTCAGCTCATGGTGAAATCCTCCATGAAATTTCTAATTGGTTTTATTTTATGTTTAGGATTAGAAAATTCACCTATATGCCTGTTGTCAGTGTATTATATTTCCCATAGCCCGAAATAATCGTTAGTGTCCACTCGGTGTAAATATTACCGGTTGCTGACTAATCAGAAGGAAAGTTTCACTAAACAGTGAAAGATTAAGGGTGACTAGTAGGAGCTTATTGACTCTTTTCAGTGCACACTGTTTATTATAAATAGGGTATGTCTGCAGCATCTATGGAATTTCTAGTTTTATCAGTGTCTAGAGAAATTTCATTGAAAGACATTTTTGAAAGTAGTTAATCAGGTAACAAGCAAGTTTCTTAAGATTGAACTTATCATTCCAGATCAATACTGCAAAGTAATGGTTTTGTAGGGATTTTGTTTGATTGCATGGAGGATTTCACCATCAGCTGACATCGGTTAGAGAACCACTGGAAAACCTGCAAGTACTGGACAGCTGTTTCGTCAGCCCAGTTTGGGGCTCTTCATTATTACGCACCCACTATCGTGGTTCAAACCCTGGATCTTCAGTAGTGGACAGCTGTTTCGAACCCCGGCGGGTGCGTATTGCTGGAGAGTCCTGAACTGATACACTTTTTATGTCACAAAGATTTATCAATCTGATTGTTACTTTCCAATAAATTTTCAAGCAAGGTTCAATTATTTCGGTCAGCTGTAAGCGTATTCATTGACACAAAACTGAAAGAAGGGTATATGTGGCATGGAGTTAGTATATTGCCTTGCTATTGACTCTTTATCTAAATATTTATCGTTGCCTAGGACAGTGTGTCACACTTCATGGAGATTGTTGAATGACATTTAGTCACAAGTTGGTAAATATATCGGAAATTGTGAAGTATTTCATCTCTGATGCATTCAAGAAAATTATTCATGTGGAATAAAAACCACAGTCTGTCGTTATTTGATTGCATGGGTAATTTTTCTTTGATTTAAATGGAATTAGCAGTCGTTTTTTGCAAATAATCTACAAGACCAAAACTACCTATATTCATTATGTCCGAACTGATGTTTTTTGCTCGATTGTGGCTAACAGTAGAATCCAAGATACATGTTTAATTTTTGTATTCCGAGCCTATCGGCATGGTATACTTGCACTTCATGGCGAAAAGATATTACCATGTTCTGGCTTTTATATCCAAAAGACCTACAAAGTTGCACCAAGTGAAACAAATTTTCTGAACGTCCTTTCATTTTGGCTCCAAACAGGAAAGTTCGAAGACGGTTACGATCATAGTGCAGTTTTCACTGTGGTAGGAGTGTGAACAGAAGTTGTGCAGCTTGTGAAAGGAAATGTGGCGACTGTAATGTACTCCAAAAGAATGACCAGTGAGTCAGTTATTCTGTCTACCTGCTATGTCAATGAGAAGTTAGAAAAGGTCGACTGTCTTTAGTGGCTATGGAAACCAAGGCAACGATGGACGCAAATAGACCACTTTTCTACAAACCAGAAATGGAGATCAGTGAAAGTCTACTGCTTCTTCTGGGATGTGTTTGGATTTTAACCAGGTATCAATACATGCACGCATGCCTCTTCCCGTCATTGGCTGGACGTAAGCTGCAATTATCCAGTTGCTAATTAAAAATTCATTTGATCAAGATGGCGGTGCCTTTAGTGAAGAAGGGTGGGGTTATATCTAATCTACTGTAGAAATATGGATGAAGAGGTATGACAACCTGAAGGGAAGATTTATTAAAATTTGGAAGATTCCTGAGGCCCTGTCAGCAGTGATCACAACATGTAGCTGTGATTTACAGCATGACTTCAGTAAAAAATAAAAATTTAAAATAGAAATTGTTCAGTTCTACCATAGATATAGTAAGGAATGAAACTGTGTCTATTTTTGACCTATTCGGGGTTGACCAGATACTACAGAATATTTTCATGGATTTGGAGCATATAAACAATATGGTCCTTTTACGTGAATATGTTGACAGAATGCGCTATCTTCTGAACATGCTGACTAAAATTCCGGTTATTCTTGAAATGAGATCTGCCTGTGTCACATAAGAAGAGATTCTAAAAGACAGACCTACCCTGACTCCTGATTTAGGGATAGAGAGTTAAGCGGTTGTAATTACCTTGATGAATCGCCTGTTGACCATATCTCGGCGGGTGAACAAAATATATTTTCTTCATTTACCAACTCGTATTGTTTTTGGCGGAACAGAAATGTTGTATTCCAGTGCTAGAGAAAACTAAGCAAATAATATCAGTCTGCAATGCTACGCCCACGGAATCAGTCAATGACTTTATGAACGTCATGGATTTAAACGGTTGGGAAATGGACTGCACATAACTACTGTGGTGTATGCTATATAAACGCAGATCGATAGAAAGCAGTCCAAGTTGAAAGTAACATTTTAATTCAATGGCTGCAAAAGTAGAAGTGTTTATGCCTTGAATCTTGACTCAGTTTTCGTTGTGATTTGGGAATAATCTCATTGGTCAACTTATCGTCCCTTAGTTTGACCTTGGGCCAATCGCCAACTAATCAGGACAGTTTATTGTCCGTTGACCTAGTCGACTGTTAATGTGGTTAAAATGCATAAATATGATGTACTTTAAACTAATAAAAAGTCCGTTGCCACTTCTCTTATCTTCTGCCGTTACACTATCATTCAACTAAAAATCGATGATATCTAATATATATATATATATGCAAACAAATCCATGCTAACCCATTCTACAAACACTGAATAAATCAGTATGTTTTATCCTATAATTTATATATTGATTTCTTTTCCATTATCACTTCTGAGATAAGTAGATTTCACCTTCCTTTTCGTTTTATATTTATTTCTTCAGATTGCGTTGTTGTATAGGGTGATAATAACAGTCTATATACAGTTTCCTATAGGTGGACGTAACACTATAATAGGCTGTATTAACTATTGTATGCTTGAAAGTAATGTTGCTTGATATCAGTTATTTACCCAATTTATTGGGTTTTCGAAGATTTGATTATTTCCAAGTTTGATTTCATCACAGACCAACATAAGCTTGATGAAACATTGTCAGCCTGTTTCGTCCTGGTTATAGACTGTTTACTAATACTACCACAAACCCTTAAGGAATTAGCCATGAAATCGATTCACATTTGAAAGTTTAGTGATTAGAATAGCAGCAGATGAGCTTCTTTGTAAGCCTAACAAGGAATAAACATGTAATGCAGGGCCAATTTTTCGTCTTATTGGTACATTTTCAGTTGGCTTTATTCCTTTCCTCAATGGCTCTTTAATCTAAAGTCTGTCATTTTAAATGCCATGAAAATAAGCCATCAAATGGTAAATATGGTTCACTTCAGTAGAAGCAAATAATGAAAGATCGTAATCTATGCTTAATTTCAAATAACCTGAACTTACAAGTGGATCAAGTATAAATATTTGACTTGCATGAGGCCACTCGACATTCAATATATAACGATGTAAGTCTTCAAACAGTTGCCTTGATGAAGCACGTCGATATGGAGATGCCCAGTTAGGTTTTAGAAAATTTTCAGTCAGTTGCCTACCAGGAACAAGATAATTAGACCATCTTGTTGTATAATATATCCATTTCATTGGTACAATAGATCTCACATACATAGATTCATTAGTGAAAACTGCTTTACTAATTGTTGAAATAACTGACCTGCCATTGTCTTTATTATTATCATTGCTATTGAAATGATCAAATTGTGCATTCACATTATTTTGTATATTTTCAGTGCATTTACTTTTTAAACTTATTGATTGATAGACAGATTTCTGATATATGTCCGTAGTAAATATATCGGGTATTCCAATATTCAAATGCCCATAGTACACTTTTTCACAGTGTTTATTCCATTCAAAATTACACGTTTCTATAAAGTGATATGTAATTTCTGTCAGATCATCTATATCAACAGAAATGATAGAGATTTCTTTCCAAATGATTGTAGAAAAGGATTGATGATTACTTAATTGTCTAGTGTTGAATAGATTCGACTGATGTGTTGGGTTTTTTTCTGCATGCGGCAATGACACAGCTGACGACAATGATGACGAAGAGGATGAGATGAAAGACGATGTTAAAGTATCATTTTCTTCAACGATGCTACTTTCTTTCTGTATAAATGAAAAGTAGACATAATGACGGGAAAGAAAAAGCTGTAGTAGTGTCTGATGACTTTGTTTTTAAAACTATAAGATATAAGAAAATTCCTAACTGTTTTGTCTGTAATGTTACAAAAACTCTAAGTATCTTGTGACAGTGAAAAAAATGATTTCAAACGGATATATATATATGTATATAATGTAAAGATTGAGTGTGACAATTAGTTGTCTAAAGCCTAACATTTATATTGCAAAATAGAAATAAAGAGCACTCCATTCACTCATGCTGTCAAACTCTTTAGGAAATTCCAGTTTTTGTTACATATTAACTTAATATTTCAAGTTAAAGCTGATGGTTATCCTTTTTCTTTCTCATATTCACTCATAAACACCATGTGCCAATCTTAAGTTATACTGATGGATACTACTTGATCATAAGATATTATTAGCTTCATTTCAGAGGGAAACTTGTCATTATGGTTATATAAGAATTTCTCTAAAAATACATTTCGAATGTATAAGATTGCGTGATTTTCAGATACGATACATTAATGTTAGTGAATCATTTGACCGACTAATCATCATTATGCATACAGACAATGATGAAAGTTTGTTGCAGTAATTTAACAAAAAACTTAGATTATATGTACCCTGAATTCTATGGATGCTAAAGGTTGGTGGGGTCTGAAGCAAGTGTTTGTCACTCAGTTACCACAGATATCTAGTTAGTGTCAAATGATGATAAGTAACTATCAAGTGTGTGTAGCACACAAAAAAGATAATATCACCATTATTTTAATTCCTTTGGGTTCTGAATGGAACATAGGACTTCAGCAACACATCTCTACTTCATTCTGTTTTCTGCTGTCGACTTCAGTTGGCTAGCTCCACGAATGACCATAATCTCTCATCTTTTCCCTGCCACATGATTATCTCCATGTCACCCTCAGCCACAACCCCACTCGTTGTTCCCCATAGGGATTCTTACTAGAGCTATGGCCTGCATTGCGCGCGATGTCATTCTATGGCCTGCTCAATATATGCACGATCCATCTCCATTTTATCCTATATATTTGTTCAGCTATCGGCTCTCGCCTGTTGGTTTGTTGCCTGAAAGATTTTCTTGATGATAATTCCTTCTGGCCATTCGACCTTCAGTACAGAGCCAGCTGCTGATAAAAGTCTGCGACAGCCTGTTGGAAATGCTTCTCGTGGCACGCAGTATATGTTTCCCACCCGCATAGATGGACTCACTAACTTTACATCTGTGTTGAACAGACTCCGAACCTTATTGTTTATGCTGACTGAATCAGTGCGGAAGATTTCCAAACTGGTTTCAGGCTGGTGAACGCGTATCCTGTCTTTCCAATTCTGGCTATAATATCAATCACATATGAATTTTCCGGGAAAAAAGTGTGATATGATGAATATGTTTTTCCATTAATTACACGGAATGTATCATTCGTAAACGTACACACTAGAATGGATTATTTTCTTCTGTGTGATTTAAGGATGGACGAAACAAATAAACAAACAAAAAAATCATTTACAAAGTTCCCATTAATCAGAAACATATTTTTAAAACCCTTTTAATTTATCAATAAATAAAACAAACATGAATTCAATAATTCATCTTAGTAGGTTCACATCAGATTATATATATCCAAACCAAGTTCAATTTTAACGGTTTGAAAAAATTTGGGCATTGGGTATATGCTATTCATTATAGTAGAGGTTTTTTGTATTTCCCAATGAATGAAAAAAACAAAACGAGATTGTTTTTGCTGACGTTTCGCTATTTAATGCTAATAGCTTTCTCAAAGTATTATTAAACCGGAATTTACAAAATCTCAGCATATATATAACAAAGAAGAAATCCAGTTGAACTGGAAAAACTTCAAAAATCATCAGCCATAGGTCTACATGCTATAGAATCAGGCCACAAAATTGATTTTGACAATATTGAAATAATCCAGAAAAACTTCAGAAACCACAAAGAACGTCTAATATCAGAAGCACTTCATATCAAGTGGAATCCAAATTGCCTGAATGGGAATGATGGACTGAAACAGAATCTAAAGTGGCTACAACACCCTCCCCCATGAAGTAGCAAAATCAACGCAAATGTGGTGAGCAAGTTCACTATGTAAACGCACACTACTTTCATAATTCTACACACTGACAAAATCCAACAATCTACACTTGGTTTTACTATCTTTACCAGTTCGCTAACTTGACAACAAAAAAACGACCCAGACTGACGAACGATAATCAAGTATTTCACATTCTACACTTAGTTTGGTTACCTTTACCTATCCTCGAACTTGACAACCAAAAATAACCCCAGAGTAACGAACGATGATCAAGTTAGTAAACTTTATTTTGATATAATAACAGATATACTATTACCTTTGATATTTGGTTTGAACGATCTTCATTGTTATTTTGACTTTCATTATGTCCTTTTAAGTTGAACTAAGTCTATATTTTTCTCACCCCCTAATTCTTTGTTGTATATATATGCTGAGATTTTGTAAATTCCAGTTTAATAATACTTTGAGAAAGCTATTAGCATTAAATAGCGAAACGTCAACAAAAACAATCTCGTTTTGTTTTTTCATTCATTGGGAAATACAAAAAACCTCTATCATAAGGTTCACATCAGTATTACGATATTCAAGTCTAGAGTCTTTGAAAATAATAAATGTAACGAAAGCTTCATAAATTTAAAATTAAGCTTAAAATTCATCAGCATTCCCATAATCATTTCTAATACATGATCCACTGAGTAAATAGGAAGAAAGCAAAACATCCATGGAAGCATAAAAAGAAAGCAACCATTTACGAAATGGCTGATTCTTTTTCCATCAATAAAATTTAAAGGATAGGTAGAATAATTTCAGTTTAGGTGGCATAACTACCTCACTGTATAAAATTTCATTTAGATAAAAAAAACAAGTGTAATGTAAGAAATAAGTCTGATAACATGATGGTAATGATAATAATAATAATAAAAGAATCGAAGGAGAGGACACAGACTATGACAATTATCTTTGCTCGGAATGTTATGGACATTCACAATCCATTTTTTGTCCTTTTATAGACAGTATTTCACCAGTGTTTCTATGATAATTTATAATACGTTGATTTTTCATCAGCTGCACACAGCCTAAATAAATTATTAAGTTTATGTACAGAAAAGTTTTGACATACTTTGAAAGGAGGTTCCGAACTTAATGAACAGTGCTCAGAAAATTACGCTCAAATAGATTTTGCACATGGAGTTCAAGTTTAAACAAAGGAAATGTATACATACAATAGTGAAGGTGTTATGTAATGGATACAAAAGCTGCATAAGATGATGAGTAACAAACTAATTGGGTAACAATGTACTGAGTTCAACTCAAATCACCGGGAGGACAGAAAGAAGGTAACACCTCCGATTCTTTGAAAAAGTACCAAAAAGACTTCGTGTCAGAGGAACAAACGCTTGTAGTAGTGCCATTACCAGACGTCTCCTTGATACGGGTCATGAGATGGAATAAGCAAAATCCTTTAGAATTATCGATAGACAGAAAACCTCAAATTTGCCCAAGCAATTTCTATGAAATACCTGAAAGAAGCAGTTATCACTCTTTCCTTACCCAGTTTGGTAACTGAATGTCTTTACCCTCTCTTTCATTTGACTACGTAATCTTTGGCTTTAACCCAAACTCCATTTGATATAGTGTAATTTTGCTTGTCTCTTGTTTCTATGGTTTGAGTTGGACTCAGTACACTTCCACTCAATTTATCAGTTATTCACCACCTTACGCACCTCTCGTCTTCATTGCGTAACTCCTTTGCCATTGTATGCATACATATACTTTGTTTAAACTTGTGTAAAAACTAAATAAGTGTAATTTTCTGAGCACTACCCACCCATTTCAGAACCATCTGTCAACTGACATCAAGCAAAGTTTGCAAGTATTTTAAAACTTTTCTGTATATAAACTTAATAATTTATTTAGGCTGTAAGCAGATGACGAGAAACCAACAAAATAAATGATGGTACCATCTTATTCTGCACAAACCACTGTTGCTTTTGCTTTATGCAAATTCATAAAGGGGAATATATTTATGAAGATTAATTTATATGGCAAGAATTATAGTTCCTAGGAACGTTATTATTTAGGGGAACTTAACAGTGAGAGTTTTGTTACTTTCCTTTTGGCTTATTCACGGGTAAAATTGTTTGAAATTATTTCTAATCTCTTCTTATTATAAGTTCAATATATCTATATTTTTCTCCTGAAGTTATCCAGAGAAATATTATCCGTTCAATGAATACATTTGAAAGGTATTGTAGCAGTACGTAATTCCCTAAAAATTATTAGCCACAACGTTCATCAATGAACAACGGACGCTGACCCTCACTGTTCAAGTCTGTTTGTTTAACTGAAGGCTCACGGTCAAGCATCCAAGCCATTTGGCACACTTTGATGTTACGGTCATTATTTCGTGCACGGTCCCTAGCTGGTTAAGCGACTAGCCTCGAACTATGATTTCGTCCCGAAATATAGTTCGTAATTTGGACGACCAATTTTGATGTTTTGCTTTGTCCTTTTTCCACGCGAATCCAATACTATAGAAGTTGTCGGTATTAGATATTGCGTTAGTATACATCGTACTATCTGTGAATGTCAATACCCTCAGCCTCTAAAGTACCAAGGTACCACTAGGACAACTCAATTGTTAGATAACTGCCTTAATTCCCAAATTTGGAATAAAGTCTTTCAAATATGCCACGAATATATTTTTAAAATTTGAATCCCTCTTACATTCACTGCATTAGGCAATAAATTTAAAATATATGAAGCCTCTTATCTCCTCCAGGATTCTCTATACCCGAACAAGATACGAAAACAGTGAACTGAACGGAGTCGAATTACCAGGCTCATAAAGCATTCTGGAAGATCTTATTGTTGTGAATAAAGAACCCGTAAAGTAGTAAAAATAACAATAAAATGGAA